TCTTTCTATTAAAGCCTCCTGGAGAGACGCATGGTGTTTTCATTTCAGCACTACTTCATACTGGGCTTCACAACCTTGCATTATGTATAGCTCGTGCTTTTCAAAGGTGTGGCGATTATGGGTGTAATGCTGCCACAGTGGGTTATTCTCTGCATGTGGAAGGCGGTTTGTGCGACGTGCAGCTGGTGGTGCCGGGCCGTGGGTGGGAGAACATAGTGGCCCCGGGCATAGACGCATCCCGGGCGCTGTCACCACGCAGAGCGCGCGAGCCCCCACCCCACCCCCACCCCCTTAGTGATGCCCCCGCGAGGAAGACGCGTAAGCCAGCAGCCGGGGGTAGGTCTGAGCGTCCAGTTTTAAAGCTCGTTTTGAAGCTGGTCCTGAAGTTGCCCACGGGGCGTGGCATCTCATGCAGAAGCCAGCGGGCTGGGCTGCGTGGACGGTCCGCCACCTGTGTCCCTCAGGCCGAAGGACACATTTCTGGCCCCTTTCCGCGGTGCGCAGCTTTGAACCCCAAGAAACGCATAGGGACGGGTGCCCCGCAGTGACAGCGGTCGGTGGAAGGATGACAGTGGTCCCCCACCTGCGGTGGACGGCGACCTCATCCTCGCCTTCTAAGCAGGGACTATAGGGGACACAGAGACAATGGAAGTTTATTGTTTCAGTGCATTCGTATTCAGAACCCCTTTCACTTTAAAAAAATACATATTTTTATTGATTTCAGAGAGGAAGGGGGAGGGAGGGAGAGAAATATCAGTGGTGAGAGAGAATCACTGATCCGCTGCCTCCTGCATGCCCCACACTGGGGGTTAAGCCCGTAACCCAGACCTGTGCCCTGACCCTGACCAGGAATTGAACTCGTTACCTCCTGGTTCATAAGTTGACACTCAACCACTGAGCCACGCCAGCTGGGCCCTCGTAAAGATTTTTTAAAAAATATACAAAGCAGGTGGTAATGTGCTTCCCTTCATACGTTCCATAGTTACTTGAACAGGCAACACCCTGATTTACAACAACATAGTGAGACCAGCTCCCAGCCGCCAGGACAACATGTCCAGTTCAGTGCAAAGGTAGGAAAACCAAACAAAACCCATAACCCCAATGGTCACTCCAAGCTCCTTTTGCCAGGCGGGCCTGGGTGAGGCTGACCACCATCAGGACTGGCCGAGCTCTTTCTTCCAGACCTTCCAGAGAGACTTCCCGGTGAATCTTAGGGTCGCTCCCTTCAGCGCCCTCCCTGAGGAAGCACACCCAGGACCCCCTCCAGCACGGCCAGGGGTTAGCGCGGCCTCGGACTTGATGTGCTGCTTCTTTAGAGCCTTAGCTTTGCCTGGTTTTGAAGGTCAAATAAATGACATTGTCCAGCACATTTCTCTGGCTCGGCGGCGTGTTTCCCTTGAGGTTCGTCCATGTCGCTGCCCAGGGCAGGAATTCTTTGGTTTTCACTGTTAATTCCGTGTTATTATTGACGGTTGTGTGGGCTACTTCTAGGGTTGGGTACTGCCCATGCTGTGCTCATAATGTCTGTACCTGCTTTTCATGCACATGTGCATCGGTTTCTGCCCGGCCCAGATCCGCAAGGGAAGCTGCTGGGCGGCGGGTGATGCTCATATTCCACACAGTGCACGCCGTTCCCCCAGGGGCTGTGCCCGTTTGACTGCCAGCAGTGCCTCCTCCCCCACGCTTGGAGTTTTCAGTCTGAAATCCTATTGTGATTTCCAGTTGCGTTTCCCTGATTCCTAAGGAGGTAGGCTCTCTCTCCCTCGGCTTCCCGGTCATCCGAGTGCCCGCCTTTGTGAAGAGCTTGTTCGAGTTTCTTGCCCTCGAGCTGACCCTGAGAGGGGAGCGGACGTGCGGTGTAGACGGCAGAGGGAAGGCACGCCGACCAGACGGGACAGCACGTGCGGATGAATGGCGTGTACGGAGAGTGGGAGAACATGGACAGATAGTGGGAAATCAGCTACTACTAGTAAAACCCTAAATTGAATCGGAGCCTGGGCCGTGACGACAGCCATCTCACACAGAGCAGAGTAAGGCAGCGGTTCTCAACCTGTGGGTCGCGACCCCTTTGGAGGTCGAATGACCCTTTCACAGGGGTCGCCTAAGACCATCGGAAAACACATATATCATTACATACTGTTTTGTGATTCATCACTATGCTTTCATTATGTTCAATTTGTAACAATGAAAATACATCCTGCATATCAGATATTTACATGACGATCCATAACAGTAGCAACATGACAGTTATGAAGTAGCAACGAAAATAATTTTATGGTTGGGGGTCACCACAACATGAGGAACTGTGTTAAAGGGTCGCGACAATAGGAAGGTTGAGAACCACTGTTTATGTATGTTTTCCAATGGTCTTGGGTGACCCTTGTGAAAGGGTCGTTTGACCCCAAAGGGGTCGCAACCCACAGGTTGGTGACCCCCAGGTTGAGAACCGCTGGAGTAAGGTAACACCCGAAAGTCAGGCAGCCCACAGGGCGCTGCTTGTGGTTCTGAGATGTTTGACGGCACACTCTGAAAGCCTAGCAAGGTTTGTACACGGGAAGGACTGCGTCTCCAATGAGCTAAAAGGCGCCCTTTGTGAAATGCCGGTGATGCTCAGGCGACAGTGTCCCTCTGCTGGTGAGCGCGTGGCTGGGGCATCCTGGAAGCGTCTGCTGGCCAGTCGCACCTCACCAACCCTGGTCACTGCGGAAGTTGAGCAGCCCGAGCCCCCACAGATCTCACCTGTGCCCACGCCTGCTCCCCACCCTCCTGCCTCCAACCCTCGCCCCACTCCCTGAAGCAGCCCTAAGATGGGGCCACGGGGAAGGAGGCCGAGGCCTGGGCGGACCCTCCCAGGCAGGGGGAGCTAAATCCAGCGGTGGGCCACCCCTCAGCACCTGCCCCGGAGAGAGGGCACAGACACCTTCGTGTGAGACAGACACCCAGCGGTTTCCTGGGCGCGGCCTTTCCTGTCCAACAGGGCTGCCTACAGCCTACAGCAGCGTCAGGGCCACGCCTAATGAGTGGGGCTTAGCAGGTGGGAGGAAGGCTGGGTTCAGGAGGCGAACCGTGGAGGGGCTGCTGGAATCCAGGCAGCCTGTGGGCTGCAGAGGCCGTGGTTCTCCGGCGGGAGGGATGCCCACGGGCACCTGACCCCCTTCCCTGCTCCTAGAGAGAGCTGCTCGCCGGCGCTCCCGTCCTCACGCACCTGTCCCTGCGCAGAGGGCCAGGCCGGCCCTGGCCCACCGCTCTCCACGCACTGGGCACCCCGGGCCCCAGGATCTCCGCACCGTGGCCTGACAGAACATCCCCCAACAGGACATTGGCCCTCCAGACCCCACGGAGGCCTCGCCCGCCTCCTCCACGGGGAGTCACCGCTCCCGGAGCCAAGTTTCCGCCCGACGCCCAGAAACTGCGCAATCAGATCTGGCTGCACCAAGGAACTCCATTCCGGCCGCTCAGACTCACCAGCGGTGCCCAGCCTCTGGGATTTAGTGACCGGGAGTCCAGACAGCGGGCAGTGACCACGGACGGCTGCAGCCTCTGGCTTCCTCACGGAGGGCGTGGGGCTGGGCTCGGTGCTTCTCAGCCACCGCTGTCACTTGTGGGCTCTGGGCGAGGCTCTGTGCGGGTCCTTTCCCAGGAATATCTCACTTGACCTCCACAGCGTCTGTGCAAGGTGCTATTCTCTCCATTTCACAGATGAGGAGGGAGGCCCAGAGAGGGCAAGTCAGTTACCTGGTGCCACACAGCTCCTTAATGGCGGGGCCTGGGTTTGAACCCAGGTTTATCGGATCCCAAAGCCTACGCCTCCCCCAGTCTGCTGTTGCTCACACCTGAAGTGCGTGTAAACGATCTGGAGATGACTTGTAAACCTCTGGTATTCCGGCGAGATGATAGGATGGTCAGAAATTAGAAGAGTTTTAGCTGCGTAGAGCAGTGGTTCTCAACCTTGGCTGCACATGAGAATCACCTGGGAATCTTTTTAAAATCCTGATTTCCGGGCCTCATCCTCCAGAAATTCTGTTTCTTTGTCACTAATGTTGTGGTCCCACCCCATAACAAAGACACAGAATTTCCGGAGGATGAGGCCCAGAAATCAGGATTTTAAAAAGAGCCCCAGGTGGTTCTAATGTGCAGCCAAGGTTGCGAACCACTGGCATAGAGAGAGTGGGCTTTCCGGAAGAGTCTTAAGGGCCCCCCTACCCACTCCCTTTTCACTGACCTACTTCAGCTCAGTGACCATGTCTCCACCTGGACATGGAAGTCCCACAGAAGCTGGAGGCTCCTGCTACGTGACGTTGTGACGGGTGCACATGTGGTCTCTGATGGGGAGGATGTGACTTCTTTCGACCTGTGCTGCTCAGGGCCGATTTGACAGAGATTGTCACAAAGTAAGGCTGACAGGAGGTGACTTCGGTGTTTGCTGCATCAGTGACGACTGGGCTGCTAGAGCGAGTAGTTCCACGCGGGGAAGGCCGCCTCACGGAATTAGACTTACTGACCACCTGCTCGGGGAAGAGAACCCAGTCGAGCTCACTGCTTGCCCGGAGGAGCGGCTGTGCTGGCTTGCGAGGGTTCTCAGGCCTCAGGGTCAGGAGAAGTGTGTTCCCCTAGAGTTCGTCTGGGGAAGCCCCGAGCCCAGAACTTCAGAAGGCGACTGAATGTGGAGACAGGGCCTTTGGGCAGCAACTCGTTAAGTGGGGCCTCGTGAGTGAGTCCTGATCCCCCGCCTGGTGTCTTTATAAGCAGAGGAGACACACCAGGGCTGTGAGCGCAGCCCGGAGAGGCCACGGCGGGCCATGGCGAGAAGGTGGCCAAGCCCCAGGAGAGGCTCAGGAGACACCACCCCCAGCGCCTTGGTCCCGGACCTCCGGCCTCCAGATCCGTGAGACGCAGATCCTGGTGTTTACCCGGTGGTGGCATTGTGTTGGGCAGCCTGAGGAGCGATGGAAGGGAACTGGGGGCTTGGCAGAGCTGAGTCCTCCCTTGCCCGTAGGCCCCACAGCCAGAGGCCAGAGAGAGAGAGAGAGAGAGAGAGAGAGAGGTCAGTAGGTCTGCAGTGAGGCCCAGGATCCGCTGGGAAAGGTTTTCCTGGGAGGACAAGGGAGTCAGGTGTCAAGTAGCGAGTTCCAGTAGTCAGACTAGCAACAGCTGCTAGGTGTGTGCTCCATGCACCTGGGCCAGGGCTCGAACCCAAACCTGGGGATGTGCCTTGACCGGGAATCAAACCCAACACCTTCCGGTGGATGGGACGATGCTCCCACCAACCGCGCCGCCCGGCCAGGGCCAGGGAGCTGTCTTAGGCTGTTTTCCTCTTAGCACGATGGCATGGACATAGTTCCAGATGACCTGTTCTTCAAGACCGTGCGTAAGGACCACGTAGCAGTCTATCTCACACGTCACCAGTGTTTAAGGTTATTTTCAACCTGCTGCTGTGACCAGCCATCCTTCCTGCACTGAAATAGGCTCACTCCACTCCGACTTCCTCACAGGCCTAGGGCAGGCCTGGAGCTGCCAGCTGCCCAGGCGGGGTCCTACCGCTCCCAGGCCCTGGTGCCTTTCCCTCTGGACCGGCTGCTTCCCGCCGCTGCTGCAAGGACGGGAGCGTCACAGGCAGCTCCGGCCATGGCCTCTGCTCACTCTCCTCTCACTCCTGTTGAGGCTGGACATATTCTCGGGGGAGGGGGGTGTGACCCACACTCTTAAGAAAATAGCATTTAAAGAATTTGTTTAGCTGGGTGTTTAACTCAACCCAGCTGTGGCAACTACCCATGACCCACTCCCCTGATGGCTCCTCGCTTGGTCCTCAGCCTCCTGACGGCCCGGGGGCACTTTTAAAAGAGACAGTGAGTGTTTGTGATGATGGCAAAGAACTCAGCTGCCCGCCTGCCTGCCCGGTGAGCCTTGTGTAACCTGCAGTTACTTAACCCTCCCTAAGCTCCAGCTCCCTCAACTTAAAGGGGCCTGGCAATCCCCCACTACAGTAGTGAGAGCAATTACTGATGCTCCCGATCAGACGTGGCTCCTACTGAGCAGGGGAGCTGCCTGTCCTGCTAGCGATGTGCACCCCGAGGCGGACGGCCTCTCGGCCTGGAAGCCAGAACTCCTCAAGTCCCAGCAACGAGCATGGTCCAGGGCGCTGTGTTCTCTAAACGCCTTCTCGCTGGAAGAGCAGCACAGATAGACACAGTGGGACTTCTTTAGCTGGGGGGGCTGGGAGACTGCCCTGGTCGCTGGCCCGGGCGTGGCCTCAGTCTTGCAGGACACACAGTGCTCACGGGTGCTCAGTGTTTTAGGAAGTTGCCCCAGAACTGGTAGGACACATCCTCTCCAACTCCCCCTCCCCCGCGGGTAAAAGCGAGAACCCTGCTTCCATCCCACAGAGGGCATCCTAGTCCCTGCGAGAACTTGGCCTTCTTCCTCCAGCTCCGTGCCCGCGGGGTCACCTGTCTGTCTGCTGGGGGTTCATACATAGAATGTAGATCCCCATTCAAACGTCTTCTGGCACCGGGAAGCCAATCCTTTGCCTAATGGATTTTTGAGACTAACAATGTTTTTTTTAAAGATTTAGAAACCAAGTTCCCGCCCGGCTGGTGTGGCTCAGTGGTTGGGTGTTGACCTAGGAACCAGGGGGTCAGGGTTCAATTCCCTGTCAGGGCACAGGCCTAGGTTGTGGGCTCCATCACCAGTGGGGAGTGTGGGGCGTGCAGGAGGCAGCCCATCCAAGATTCTCTCTCATCATTGATGTTTCTCTCTCTCTCCCTCTCCCTTCCTGTCTCTAAAAACCAATAAAATATACAACAAACAAAAACAAAAACCAGTTTCCCCCGTTGGGTGATGTCCAGTCTTCCCGCTGCAGCAGGACTGGTCTCCGGTGGGGCAGCAGGGGCAGTGGTGGCAGGGGTGCTCCTGGGCTAGTACCTGTTCACTGGTGATTTTCCCCGCGAGCTGGACCTGCGGCGCCCACCCTGCAGCGGCCGGACTGACGGCATCGCTGCTGAGCCACCTTCTCTTTCGCATCCATGTCTCTGCAGCTGCCAGCGGGGTGGGCACCCTCCCCGGCTGGGCGGCCGGGTCTCAGGGCCCAGCCATGTCCGCGATCCTGCAGGAGCTGCTGCGCGTCTCCGAGAAGGCGGCCCACATCGCCCGCGCCTGCCGCCAGCAGGACGCCCTCTTCCAGCTGCTCATCGAGGAGAAGAAGGGCGGCGAGAAGAACAAGAAGTTCGCCGTGGACTTCAAGACGCTGGCCGACGTGCTGGTGCAGGAAGTCATAAAGCGGCACATGGAGAGCAAGGTAGGCAAGGCTGCGGCCAGGCCCGGACCGCAGGGTGCCTGCCGGGGGCTGTGGCTTTGTGAGCACAGCCTCCCTCCCCCTGCCTTCCCCCAGAGGACCAGCACCTCAGATTCAAATAAACACACAACTGTGGGTCTGACTCCCCTTGTTCTGACTATAATATTTCTAGAATGTTCACTGCAGAACAGTTTGAAAATACAGGGAAACAAATAAGGAAATAAAAATCACCCTTCTCAGAGCTAGAGAGGACCATGTTGGTATAGACCAGTGGTTCTCAACCTTCCTAATGCCGCGACCCTTTAATACAGTTCCTCATGTTGTGGTGACCCCCAACCATAAAATTATTTTCGTTGCTACTTCATAACTGTAATTTTGCTACTGTTATGAATCGTCATGTAAATATCTGATATGCAGGATGTATTTTCATTGTTACAAATTGAACATAATGAAAGCATAGTGATTAATCACAAAAACAATATGTAATTATATATGCGTTTTCCCATGGGCTTAGGTGACCCCTGTGAAAGGGTCGTTTGACCTCCAAAGGGGTCGTGACCCACCGGTTGGCGACCCACAGGTTGAGAACCACTGGTCTAGACCTTCTCACTTATTTTCTTTTTGAATAAGTGGTACACGTTCTTGGGAAAATAAGCAAATACCATCCCCCCACTAGAGAAAACCACAGCTGTGTTTGGCTACGTGATGTTAGAATGTTTTTCTTCTATGTGTAGGTGTGTGCATGGCACCTATCATTTATTTCAATAGAAATGAGAAAATACTATTTGGTAACTTTAAAAAATGGTTTCATTTATTAAGTCTCACTTTCTGACATAATCGTGTATCTAATGCCTGTAGAGTTCTGGAGACTTACAGCCCCCCTTTATTCTAGTACCAAAATATTGTTTATAACTATCAATGATTGTGATTCTAGTTATTTTAAACTGATTGGAGGGGACTGTATTCATAAATAGTAATAATAACAACACTAACAGACACTTATAAATGCTTATTGCATGCCAGACACTGCTCTAAAGGCTTACTTAACTTTTCAACTCTTTTAACAATTTTATGAAGAACTAGTAATCCCGGGGAGTGGGTGAGGAAAGACTGGCACAGAGAGGTTAAGTCACTTGCCTGAGGTAACACAGCAAGCGAATGGCCGGGCCAGTTTTGAGCACAGGCCACCTGGCTGCAGAGTCTGTGCTCTTTGCATCGCTGTGCGGCCTTCTATATGATCTAATAATTACATATTCAGGAGGACAGAACTTTATGAGAGAAGGCACTATAAAGTACTGCAATAGTTCTCCATGAAATGCTCAAAATATACGAATCAATAAGAATCATTTCACTCTCTCATCATTGATGTTCCTATCTCTCTCTCCCTCTCCCTTCCCCTCTCTCTAAAAATCAATAAAAACATTAAAAAAAGAGAATCATTTAAGTGAGTTCCTGACCACAGGAAGGAAGAATCAACAACGCTTTGAAACCTCTACAACAACGGTTCTCAACCTGTGGGTCGCGACCCCTTTGGCGGTCGAACGACCCTTTCACAGGGGTCGCCTAAGACCATCCTGCATATCAGATATTTACATGACGGTTCATAACAGCAGCAACATGACAGCGATGAAGTAGCAACGAGAATAATTTTATGGTTGGGTCACAGCATGAGGAGCTGTATTTAAAGGGCCGGAAGGTTGAGAACCACTGCTCTGATGCTACACCTCTCTGTGCCCTGTGATACCTGCCCAGTGCGCTAACTGGAGCAAGTTCATTTCTGATCCTGATTGAGATAGTTGGTTGCAACTGGATTAGCAATGTACCGACATTAAAATTGATGAGTTAATGTTTGCCCAGAGCATTATAACAAGTCCAGGCTGGGTTCACGGAGGAGGTAGATGCCGGGACTTGGGGACGGATAAGTGAGGTTCACCTTTGGCGAGAAGAAATATCTGTTTCCTGACTCACTCCCCGCAGCCTCAGGAACAGGCTTTCAGCAGGCGGGGCGCTGGGCCCCAGCCCTGGCTATGCGCCCTGTTGTTCGGAATTGGATGCCAAGCAGTGGTGGGCGTTATTAAGCTATTGTCCGCCTGCGAATGGCTGAGGGCACATATCTGAAGCATTTCCTTGCCTTTGTTCCCTGAGAATATCACACAGATCAGAATTCAGCACATACGTTGGCGGAAATGTATCTTTACTGGAGAAGCAAAATGGATCTGAAAGCTTCATTTCCTACAAAGATGAGAGAAGATTCTTACTTAGCTCTATTTTTAAAAAAAATATATTTTTTTATTTCAGAGAGGAAGGGAGAGGGAGAGAGAGAAACATCCATGATGAGAATCATTGAACAGCTGCCTCCTGCATGCCCCCTACTGGGGATTGAGCCTGCAACCCAGGTATGTGCCCTTGACTGGAATCGAACCCAGGACCCTTCAGTCCACAGGCTGATGCTTTATCCACAAGCCAAACTGGCTAGGGCAGCTCTGTTTTGTTTGTTTTTTAAATTCTATATTGATGCATAAATTACTGGTTTATAAAATATTTCCCTTGTTTGGCTGTATCACCTTCCTACCCTGAAGGTGAACGTTACCTCCAACAGGTGCAGAAAACACACTTGAAATGGGGGAAAAAAAAGTAATGTTATCTTCTAACCCAGTGGTTCTCAACCTTCCTAATGCCACGACCCTTTAATACAGTTTGTCATGTTGTGGTAACCCCCAATTTCATTGTTACAAATTGAACATAATGAAAGCACAGTGATTAATCACAAAAACTATGTAATTATATATGTGTTTTGCGCTGGTCCTAGGCGACCCCTGTGAAAGGGTTGTTCGACCCCCAAAGGGGTCGCGACCCACAGGTTGAGAACCGCTGGTCTAACCCCTTATGTCTAGGCTCAAGTAAAACCTGCGGTACTTGATCAATAACGTTAACTTATATAAGCGACGAGGGTGCTATTTAAGAGCAAGTGTTAAAATATTTCCTTGGGAAGCATTCTAATCCTATGGTCCTTAAGGAGATAAGTGAAGTTTCTAGAAATACTTCTGCAAACTCACCAGGACAGCAGGCAGCCAGACTTCTCCATGACTTGAACTTTTTATAAGGGCAGAGGAGCAGGAAGGTCTCTGAAAGTTAAGTCCGGAGCCACGCTGACTTCACGGTGTTATGCTGAGGTGGGTTTCTGGGATGGTACATTTCTGAATTTCAGATCGAGTTGTGCTATTTAATTTGAAACAGAAAATGGAAACCTGTTCGGAATTGAACATACGTGTGGGTTTTTTCTTTTATTGTTCTTGCTTTGGTTTGTTGTCATACCGGCATTCTTCAGTTTCCAGGCTTGGAGGACAAAATTTTTGGAGAAGAATCGAACGAGTTTACTAATGCCCTGGGTAAGTATACAGATCCTGACGTGGTGGTGTAACTGTCAGTGACCATATCCTATTCTAATTTCCAACTTACATCTTAAGTGGATGTTTGGGAGGCTTTCATGTAAAAGACAATATATTCAAATGTTAAGCTTCACTCAGAACTTCAGGCCATTTAACTTAGGGAAATGTGGTATCTTAGATGTAAGTCTGTGGCATTTAAATAATGGATGACATAACATTTTTTAAAAATATACCTTGGCTGAGACCGGTTTGGCTCAGTGGATGGAGCGTCGGCCTGAGGACTGAAGGGTCCCAGGTTCAATTCCACTCAAGGGCACATGCTTGATCCCCATTGTAGGGCATGTAGAAGGCAGCTAATCAATGATTCTCTCTCATCACCCAGGGCTTGACTTAACCTTTTGGAAAGTTGAGTGGTCCTTTGGGAATGTAATGAAAGTGACAGATGCCCCAGAAAGATGTGCTTCCTCACAACTGGGCAGACCATCTCAGGTCCACAGTTCAAACTCCAAACCCATCTGTGGACCTTGTGCGATTCTGGCCGGGGGCCAGGTCTGGGACCACAGATACGGGTCTGTTGCCCTCACCACATCCGGTGCGCAGCCTTGCTCCCCCACCCCTCTGTGTTCGTTCCCCCCGACTCTCTTGAGATGCCGCGACTCTGTGTGTGTCTTCCCACCAGGAGAAATGATCGTCTTGCGACTGTGCCCGACAGAGGGGGAGACGGCAGAGCTTCTGAGCAAAGTCCTGAACGGGAACCAGCTGGCGGCCGGGGCACTGGCCAAGGTCGTTCACGAGGACGTTGCCTTCGCCGACCCGGCCCTGGATTCGGTCCAGGTCACCATTCCTCACGACACTTTGGGAATCTGGGTGGATCCCATAGGTGAGTGGAGGGTTTGCTTTTACCCATTTGTTCTTATTGGTCATTGGTTTTTTTGGTGTGTGTGTGTGTGTGTGTGTGTTTTGTGGGGGAGAGGGCTTAGAAAAATACACATTGAGTATAGTTGAACTCTCCTGGAAGTTTAAGCAGTTTTACAGTTTGAAAGGGATCAAGAAGAGTCGGGTCCGTGTTATGACATGTTGTTAGAAACAGATGTGCATCCGTCACCTGTAACAGACGTGTATGTGTGTTTGTGGGTCTGTGTGGGGGCCTGTGTGTGTGTCTCCCCCCCCCCAATATATTTGTATTGATTTCAGAGAGGAAGGGAGTGAGAGAAAGAGAGAGAAACATCAATGAAGAGAATTCCTGATTGGCTGCCTTCTGTACCCCCCCACCCCACACCGGGGATCAAGCCCCGAAATCCTGCCATGTGCCCTTGACTGGAATAAAACCAAGGCCCCTTCATCTGACAGGCCAATGCTCTATCCACTGAGCCAAACCAGCTCGGGCAAGGAACAAGCAGAGAAACAGTCTTGTTGAAGCAATTTGGCATAAAGATGAAAACATTGAACTCCATCAATGGTATCAGCCCCTTAAAAGAGGAGTTTGTTAGTCTCTAATACAAACATCCAGGCTGTCGCAGTTATTAAATGAGAAGAAAGAAACGCTGTAGAACAGAGTTCACAGATGCATTCATCCTCATTTTCTCCATAATTGCGACCTGAACCCAAACGAGCACGCTTCCCTTTCAGATTCCACGCATCAGTACATCCAGGGCTCTGCCGACGTGGAGCCCAGCCACGGAGTCTTCCCCCGGGGGCTCCCGTGCGTCACCATCCTCATCGGCGTCTATGACCTGCGGACGGGGCTGCCCCTGATGGGGGTCATCAACCAGCCTTTCGTGTCGCAGGACCCTGACACCCTCAGGTAGGAGGGGCACTTGGGGTGCGTCACGGTTTGTAGAATTTGCAACCTTAGCTTTGCTTTTTGTCAAGATGGTCACTCCATGTGGCATTCCCAGGACGCGAGATACTGGGCCGTTCCCGCTAGAAGTCTGCATGTTTGAGTTCACGTTCTTTTATTTGGCCTCATTTTATTGGCCCAGTTTGACTGGGGGCTGATAGAAGCTTTGAACAGAAATGGCATGTTGGCGGAGTCATTCTGCATTTGGAAGAAAGCAGTCCTGTTCCCTATTCCTCGAATCCTTTCAAAACCAGATTGATAGCACGGAGCCACCCCTGCTTCTCACACGTTCAGAATGAGATAGGCGCTGTGGTTATGCAGCCGGTTGAACTGATACACAATTTTAGAAGAAATTCAAAACCAAAATGGGAAAATTATCCAAGGGAAAGATGAGTAGTTATGGCCAGGATTAGAACCTGCCTCTGGGGTGCTGTCCCTATAAATGTGAGGGCCGCCTCACTCTCCACCCTCCACTGACTCCTGCACGGAATTGCGGGGGGAGGGTGGGTGGTACCTCCAATTGGTTTGCGCTTTGGGGTCAACTCCAGGGCACAGCAGGGTCCAGGGGGAAGCAAACTGCTTTTCTCCTGGGGGTTCAGTTTTGATTTGTGTTTTCTTTTAAAATCTATTTTTATTGATTTCAGAGAGAGGAAGGGAGAGGGAGAGAGAGAGAGAAACATCAACGATGAGAATCACTCATCAGCTGCCTCCTGCCCGCCCCACACTGGGGATGGGGCCTGCAGCCCGGGCCTGTGCCCTGACGGGAATCGAACCCTGACCTCCTGGTTCACAGGTCCACGCTCAGCCACTGAGCCACACTAGCCAGGCGGTTCAGTGTTCGCACTGAAGTAGGTCAGACTGTTTGTTAGTGCAGGACTACACATTCTTTCTTGAGCTTTGAGTTGCTTGGGCAACTAAGAATTGTTAGCGCTGTAATAGTCATGAACTGCACCTCTGGGATTTTGTCATTTCCCCTCTACCCCTGCCTTCGTCCACGCGAAATGTGTTTGTTCTCTTTACAAGGTCACGGCGGAATGAAAAAGCGCTGGGCCTGGTGCAGGCGTGACCCCGGCCTAGACGTGCTTCCCAAGCAGTTAGTGGCACGGACACTGCAGGTGGCGTAGGGCACCCGGCACAGACAGGGCTCACACATGGAGGAAGGACAGGTACTGCAGGTGGCGTAGGGCACCCGGCACAGACAGGGCTCACACATGGAGGAAGGACAGTGCTGCAGGTGGCGTAGGGCACCCGGCACAGACAGGGCTCACACATGAGGAAGGACAGGTGCTGCAGGTGGCGGAGGGCACCCGGCACGGACAGGGCTCACATATGGAGGAAGGACAGGTACTGCTGGTGGCGTAGGGCACCCGGCACGGACAGGGCTCACATATGGAGGAAGGACAGGTGCTGCACATGGCGTAGGGCACCCGGCACAGACAGGGCTCACACATGAGGAAGGACAGTGCTGCAGGTGGCGTAGGGCACCCGGCACAGACAGGGCTCACACATGGAGGAAGGACAGTGCTGCAGGTGGCGTAGGGCACCCGGCACGGACAGGGCTCACACATGAGGAAGGACAGGTGCTGTGATTGTCTCTGTTGCCAAAAATAACGCGTCCATCTTTCTTGGCGTTGAAGTCGAGGTGAGCTTGCGAATAAGCCAGAGAAGCGGGTGAAACAATGAGAAGGAGTTTCCAAGGGAAGGACCATGTGTAAGGATCGTAAACGAGATGCAGATGGAAAGACAGACGGCCTGTTTGTTCGTCTTTCCCACGCGGCAGTAAAGCTCTGCCGTGTTCCTAGGGACCCCGAACCCCACAGATATGTTAGCATCGCCCGGATTGCTGTGCTGAGGCCCGAGACAGAGCCGCCCCATCGGCAGCCGCGCAGGCAGCTGGGCGGAGAGGTGACTTTCAGAAATGAATGAGCTGCGTGGTGTCTGTTTCTGGGCTGAAGGCACGGAGACTCGTTACGTTAAATATACTTTTTTCACCTCGTGGGGTTGAAGGCAACACGAATACTAAAAAGCAAATGTGAGCCCGGCCTGCGTGGCTCAGTGGTTGAGCATGGCCCTGTGAACTGGGAGGTCAGGGTTCGGTCCTGGTCGGGGCGCATGCCGGGTTGTGGGCTCATCCCCAGTGGGGAGCGGGCAGGAGGCAGCCGGCCCAAGATGCTCTCTCATCATGGCCGTTTCTCTCTCCCTCTCCCTCCCTCCTGAGATCAATACAAACACATTTACACATTTAAAAAGCGAATGGGATCTCCGCCTGCGCTCACGGAAACCTCTCTCCCGCAGGTGGGAAGGACGGTGCTACTGGGGCCTCTCCTACATGGGCACCAACATCCACTCCCTGCTGCCCCGAGGGACATTTAGATTCTGCATCCAGGGCCTCGTGGACCTGTACGTCTTCTCCTACGACACCACCTTCAAGTGGGACTCGTGCGCGCCCCACGCCATCCTGCGGGCCATGGGCGGCGGCATGGTGGACTTCCAGGGCTGCCTGGCCAGGGGCCCCGCCGCGGGCCGGGAGTGGCCGCAGCTGCTGTACCACGTGGGCCACGAAGGCGCCCGTGGCGTGGATCGCTGGGCCAACAAGGGGGGACTCATCGCATACAGGTCGCGCCAGCAGCTGGAGACATTCCTGAGCCTCCTCGCCCCGCACCTGGTGCCTGCGGACGCGCGCGCATAGACAGCCTCTCCCGCCCATAGAAACCAAACTGACCCTGGGCCCCGTGCCTATCGCCGGCAGATTGCTTTGTCCTATGGGTGGTCAGCGTTCATCTCCCTCTTCGGGGGAGTATCTTTCCATTCTGTGTTCATATGATGTTAATTTCTGTAAATAAACGAAAGCCGTGCAGCAGTGGACATGTGAACGCCTGCGGTGGGATTGTGCGGTGGGTGCTGCCTGCAGCGTGTCAGTCAGGCGCTGAATGAAGAGGCGGAGGAACCCGCCCAGCTAGTGACACTGAACATTTCAGCTAGCGAGCTCTCGGGGGGCAGGAGGGGCTGCACGGGGGCTCCTTCTTCCGGGGAGTCGCTGGGGCATTCAGACCTGGAAAGGATGCATCATTTAGCCAAGTTCATGTGCTTTCTACAGCATTCCTGTCATAGAAGGAGAGCTGGAGCCTCCTCTTCCACACACACTCACACACACACTCACACACACACTCACACACACACACTCTAATACTCTTACACTCACACTCACACACTCTCACACTCACATGCTCACACTCATACGCTCACACACGCTCACACACACAATCACACACACACACACACACACACACACACCCCACCCCCTGTCTC